AGAAGGAGAAGGAGGAGGAGGAGGAGGAGAAGGAGAAGGAGAAGGAGAAGGAGAAGGAGAAGGAGAAGGAGAAAGAGAAAGAGAGGAAGAGGAAGAGGAGAGGGAGGACAAGGGGGAATGGGAGGAGGGGGAGGAGGAGAGGGAGGAAGATGGAAGCCCAATTTCATTTTGAGCTTTTTTCTTTCTTTTCTTTTTTTTTTCCCCCTCTATCCCCCACCCCCCTCAGAACACAATAAGCCTGGGCAATTACCTTTCACCTGCAACTGGCTTTGGCCATTCCTTTTTACTTAGAAATGGTGCTCTCCTACTTGTGCATAGAGCACCGTTCCCCCTATGCATTAGGCCATCACAGCGACACAGCAAGATCATCTTATTATGTGTGGGTCCCCACCCACCAGACCAAGACCAAGTCTATAGATTATCAAATTATAAAGATTTCCACCACCAAAAACACATACATGTTCCTGTTATAGGGGAACGAAACCCCCAACCTGAAAGATACCTGGGCTGAGTTCGTGTTCTCTAAAACCAGAGAATGAATTTTAGGAACAACAGAGGTTAAGAGCAAAATATATTTATTGGGGGAAAGAAAGCTCCTGTCTGAGAGAATGACAGAAGGGGGACTCAAGCGCTTTGCTCCTGAATTTGTCTCTTCCAGGGACTTTTATAGAGTAAAACCATGTGGTAAGGTGGGTCTAAGGTGGAGAACCCGGGAACTTGCTAAGTGGGCATGAAGTGGGACAAAACTATGGTTAATCAATAAGGTTACAAGCAGAAGTGCTCAGATAAGATTGATTAAACCCAGGACCAAGTGGGGAGGCAAGTCACAGAGCAAGCGGGTATGAATACAGAACAGGGGCTCTTCTTGTAGGGGTTGGGTCAGTGACTGGCTTCTAGGTGATTGATACCTATTTAGAAATCAATGCCCAGTGCCCTTCCCTAGGGAAGTAAGTGGCTGCATTTGTTTCCTCTTTTGTCTTAAAATCTGGCCCACAGCAAGGGTCTGTCTCTCCCCAGGTTGCAAAGTCACCTTGTCTTCCATACTGTCTCCTTGAGGGCCTGGCCCTGTCTGACTGCCTATAGCATTTCTGTCTAATTCAGCTGCCTGAGACATTCCTGGGTCCCAACTGTAGCGCCTTTTCCTTTCTCTGAGCACCCACACTTCGCTCTTTTGCTGTTACTGACACATCCCCAAAATTCTCGTTCCACAACAAAGGTCAGCAAGCCTGCAAACTTAGTTTACAAACAGGTGGGTGAAGTTCCTAGTTTCAGCTTTGGGAAACTCCCATACCCAACCTGGTGACAAATCGATTCAAAAAGTTTCACTTTTGTGGTCATTTTGAGTTTTCAGAAGCACTAGAAGTCACAGGATACCAGCTCTGGTGAGTGAGCTAGGGGAGGACATGCTGTGATGTTCTTCGGAGCCTGCCTTTTGGTTAGATGGATTTCAGCGGTGGTGTCCACATTTTTTTTTTTTAATCGTAACTTGTAAAAATTCTCATGAAAGAGGACCTCCAGAACTGCTTCAGAAAGTGGCAAGAACGATGGGATAAGTGTGCTCAAAGCAAGAGGAGGTATTGATATAGGGGAAATGACTCCCGACCTGAAAGGTACCTGGTACGAGTTTGTGTTCTCTAAAACCAAAGAATGAATTTTAAGAACAAACAGAGGTTAAGAGCAGAATATTTATTGGAGGAAAGAAAGCTTCTGTCTGAGAGGGACAGAAGGGGGTCCTGAGTGGGTTGTCCTCAAGAAGCTGTCTCTTCCAGAGACTGTGTGTGTGTGTGTGTGTGTGTGTGTGTGTGTGTGTGTGTGTTTAGCGAAGGATCTACACTAGATCGAACGCTGTAGTGATCTGCCTGTTTACAGCCTCCCAAGTGCTGGGATTACAGGCATGAGCCACCACACCCAGTCTCAATTGCCATCTCAGGGCACCTTGGGGGCAGGGCCAGCACCTCAGGTTCAGGGATCAAACCCTGGCCCCTGTGCTTGCTTGCAGATGCTTTAATCCACTGAGCTATTTGGCCAGCCCTCTTCCAAGGACTTTTATAGAGTAAAACCATGCAGGTCTAAGGTGGAGAACATGGGAACTCCCTTAGGCAAGCATGAGGTGGGACAAAACTATGGTCAGCCAATGAGATTATAAGCACCATTGCTCAGGTAAAATTGAGTAAGTTCAGGACCAAATGGGGAAGCGAGTCACGTAGCAAGCAGGCACGAATATAGAGCAGGAGTTTATCTGGTAGCTGGTAGCAGCTGGATGAGTGATTCTTCCTGGCTTCCTCAAGCTGATGATCAGTTCTGGATGCTAATCGTTAGGGAGGTCAGCCTTTGTCCCATCTTTGGTCTCTAGATCTGGCCCACAGCAGGAGCATCCATCTCTCTCACAGTTGCAAGGCATCTTGTCTTCCGCGCTATCTCCTTACGAACCTGGCCCTGTCTGACTTGCCTATAATATTTCTATCTAATTTAGCAGCCTACAACAATATGATAGTATTGTGTCAAGGATACGTGGTTCCACTGGGATAAGCAGTCAACAGGGATTGTAAACTCAGCACCAGTAACAAATTGCAGGGATGGTCTGGGATTATCTCGGATGGGTCCCAGGCCCCCAGACCCTAACCCAGGCACCACTGCCTATGTGCACATTCCATGTTCTATTCTTTTCCTGCCTATAGACCACTTACCCCTCTAGCAAAATATCTTTTACTGTAACTGATTTTTCAAACAACTAACCATTCATTGTATTAAGCCTGGCCGGTGTTGGGATCCTGTTGGGTTTCTACATTCTTGGGCACAATGAACAAATAATTGGATGTGATAATCCATGGAAAGGAAAAAGCAGCAAAGTTTAATCAGGTGATGGCACAGACAGAGTGAGCAGGCTCACACTTGCAGGAAGGAACATGGCGTGAGTGCTGAATGTGTTGGGTTTAAGAATTTAAAATGTTGCCCCAGGTCTAGGGTGCCTCTCAGGGCCTTCCAGAAGGTGTTGAGAATGTGACTGACAGAGTGCAGAGTCATGTCTGCTGTGTCTATTGCACATGTCCTTACCCATAATGCACTCTGTTATAATGGATGCAGGAGATGCGTACACATGGAGCTTCAATGAACTCCAATAAAGGTTACTATAGGTCATGACAGCTGATCTAGCAAACAGGTTTCTTAGCTGTTCTTCTGGGTGGCAGGGCTTATAAGACAAAGGTGGATGTGGGTTAGGCCTGGGACATTGGCCAGGTAC